GTAAAGTGAAGAAACACTGTGGTGGCAGTGTTGGAGGAGACAAGCAGAGAGGCTGGAGGGAGAGGCGTCACAGTCAATCATTGACATCAGTGAAGAATGCAAGTCACTGTAGTGAAGCTGGAACAGTACACATCTAACATACATTAATGGCATACAGTGCAGACGACTTAATGAATAAGACACTTACGCAGTTCCTGGGAATCGTCATTGTTGGACGGTTTCTCCTTCGCAGCAGGTTTTTCAGTTAAAAAGAGAAGATACTCTTATACTGGGAACCGTGGGAGTGGAGAGGTTATTTTTAATGTCTTCCGACCCCTCACTTGAAGAACTAAGAGAAGTTATTAAATCTCATAGCATTCAGTTAAAGTGTTTTGTCCTTTAACCTTAATAGATATAAGATTAAGGATAAGAAATTAAAGGTAGCACATACTTTCATTTTTAAAGTTATGATTTAACAGTGAACCGTCAGTTTATATTATTATTATTATTATTATTATTATTATTATTATTATTATTATTATTATTATCAAACCAAGTGATAACTCGTAAGGGTTATACAGCGCTGCAGGCAGAGTGTGGTAATAGGTGGAATATACTTGATCAGAGATTAGCGAGGGTGTAGGGGTATAACAGAGGTAGAGGTAGGAAGGGCGGTGAGGAGTGCTAAAGGAAGTGCATATAATCAAAGTCGGTATAATAAAACTGTTGCTAATTCCAACTACTCCGTTATGGAAAACTGGAGGAGATAATAACTAGAACAGAGTATACTACTGACTCCGGCCTACAATAGAGCGGAAAAATAATGTAAGGGACCTGGGAGTAGTAATGTCTGAGGATCTCACTTCAAGGATCACAACATTTGCCACGATCGCACGTGCAAAGAAAATGATAGGATGGATAATGAGAACTTTCAAACGAGAGATGCCAAGCCATGATGATCCTTTTCAAATCATTGTTCTCTCTAGGCTGGAATACTGCTGTACATTAACATCTCCATTCAAAGCAGGTGAAATCGCAGATCTAGAGAGTGTACAGAGATCCTTTACTGCACGTATAATTTCTGTCAAGCCCCTTTAAAACTATGGGAACGCTTGGAAGCACTTGACTTGTACTCGTTGGGAAAGCAGGAGGGAGAGATATATCATAATCTACACTTGGAAAATCTTGGAAGGAATGGTCCAAATCTGCACACAGAAATCACTCCTACGAAAGTAAAAGACTGGGCAGGCGATGCAAAATGCCCCCAATAAAAAGTAGGGGCGCCATTGGTACACTAAGAGAAAACACCATAAGTGTCCGGGGCCCAAAACTGTTCAACAGCCTCCCATCAAGCATTAGGGGAATTGCCAATAAACCCCTGGCTGCCTTCAAGAGAGAGCTGGACAGATACCTAAAGTCAGTGCCGGATCAGCCGGGCTGTGGCTCGTACGTTGGACTGCGTGCGGCCAGCAGTAACAGCCTAGTTGATCAGGCCCTGATCCATCGGGAGGCCTGGTCGTGGACCGGGCCGCGGGGGCGTTGATCCCCGGAATAACCTCCAGGTAACCTCCAGGTAACAAAAATTTAAAGAGGGAGTTTGTGCCAAAGTTGGGGCCGTCAGCGAGGAGGGAAGATAAATAAAGGGCATTAGAGCGGAGGTAAATTCTGCGTTCCCGCTGGTAGACAGGTTTATAACTGTAGAATTCGATGGGGGACACACCATCGCTTATCTAGAGTGGTGCTTTGCTGCTAACGACGAGCCTTTGATCCAAGGAATTAGGTCTTATATTCAATTAATTGGATCGAAAGTGATTACTTGAGACCCCATTTGCTGTAATGACCTCTGTATCTTATTCAGCGAGTATGACTACAGCACCTCCCTAGTACTATAATAACGCTCGTAGTCGCTCCAGCTCACAAGGAGCAACTTGTTCTCCTACGCACTGATGATTCCTGTTCGATCTAAGCCTGTACAAAGAATATAATTCTTCACTACATATCAGAATTACCTCTACCACAATTTCCCCACTTCCTTCTTTCTTCCTCTTTGTCCTGTCCCTGTCCCCCTCTCCTATATATACTGGCTCCCTCACCTTTGTGCGTTACTGTGACTTGTAAATGGTCCAAGTCGGCCCGAAACGTAGTCATAAGCTTCTCTCTGCTATGTGCGGATTATTTGTGTATGGTCAGGGTGATAAACAGTCATTATGGCTGAATGAAAAATTGAGACAAAGTTTCACTTCGAGATCATTTTTTTTTCTAGTTTATTATGAATATCACCGGATCAATGGAATAATACTGATGAGTGGTATATAATACTGACAAGTTCATCATAAAGACACATGTACAACACCTGGGTATTATTACTGATTGATGTCTCACCTGCACAGCAGGCATTATCAATCTAAGAGAGGCACGAGGGTGGGACTTTTATGATGCAGACAGTTGAAGTATTGGAGAGATGCAGCAGTTGAAGAAGCGGTCTCGTGTGGGTGGGGCCCACTAGTGGAAGTAAATCAGCCCCATAATGTGGACCATATAAAGAGTACAAAGGAATCGTGAGGGGGCGGACCTAATTTAGGTTCTTTACCTGCCTCCTCGTCACCTGTGCTCTCTAATATAAATACTTCCCCTCACTATGTACTGTCTGCAGTCTTGAAGATAGGTTGGCCACCAAGCGAAACAGTACGTAGTAGGTTCGCCGGTTTTGTCCCAGCCCGGATCTTTTCCAGATGGTGAGCAAACAGTGTCTCATCAAAGGTTCCATTTTAGGTAAGGTTAGGGTAGGTTAAGTTAGATTAGCTTTTGAAAGTTAGGCTCGCTTAGCTTAGTTAATTACGCTAGGATAGGTTATAAGTTAAGTTAGACCATTTAGCGGACGGAGGATGGAGCCTTCACTACTTCTTGCTCTAGATGGCCCACACGAGTTTAGTACTTAAATTTACTTTAACAATAAAAATAAAATATTTGAGGTCCCATCATGTCTGCCTCCAGTCCTGGTCTGGGACATGGCCGCGGGGTCGGTGATCACCTTCCCTCTACCTTCAATCGGCTCCAAATATCTTCCTGGGCGTATATTAACCACACATTTTTTCTCTCTGTTAGGTCCAACACGTGAGGTGTGGGCGGGGGTGGGCGGCTCTGCCAACCTACCGTGCAATATAACATCTCCTCTACCTGCTGATCCAGCTCTCCTCGTCCTCTGGTACAAGAACGGTATCCACAAGCCAATATACAGGTTAGTGGTACAGCATCGCATCTCTCCAGCCCAGAGGTTACTTTCAGTCTGATTCATAGAGTGCAACAAGAAAAGTAAGTTTAGTAGAGGATCGTTAGCTCAATATTTTTATTGTAGCCAGAGTTATTTCTTAACAATCGCCATGTTTAGTATTCACCAGATTTCAGTATTAATTTCAAACAATTCTTTAAGTTCAGCGAATAAAGACTTTTTTAGGAAAATGGAAATCAAAAGAGATATATAACGTGTTAAGAAAATTATTAGCATTTACATTGCAGATTAAGATTAATATTATTATAAAGTTAAAAGATATGTTCCAGCATTACATTGCTATAAAGCGTTGCATAGTTTTGCATAGTGTCCATCCGAAATTATGGCTGAGTTCCATACAGCTCCCATTTGAAATAGGTATCATTAACTCTCTACAAAATATATGACTATATATTCTGAAGCCACCTCATATTTAAATACCTTAAAGAGCAGCATGAAACAAAAAGAGGCCCAGGCAAGAGGTATACTTCCAACAGTATAGTTTATGTCTAACATTACGGTGAATATCAAACATTTGGATGTATTTCTAACATTAGGGTGTACACAACTGGTGTCTCAGAGGATAGAGTGCAATGCACTTTGAGACCCGAAAACTTCAACAAGAGAAAAAGTAAGAAGTGCACATAATTCTGTCGTGAAAATGGTAAACAAATCTGGTAAGCGTTTTTGTATTTACACTATCTGGAAAATTGCTACGTATCCAAGACACCGCAGGAGTATGAGCTAATACTTTTCATAGCAGCATCAGGGAAAACATCGCGAAGACGAGGAAGAGCAAGTCCAAAGTAAGGATGGAGACTCTGGAGAGGAAAACGAGGGACGTACGGGAACCTTCGGTACCTCTCAAGGGTGAATAGAAAAGGGATGTAGATTAAAAAAAATTACTAGACTGAGAGCAAAGGTTAAGAGATGCATCAAAAAGGATGACAATTGAAAGTGTCAACATTACTAACGCCTATAGTTCCTAGGGTTATGAAGGTCATAAAAAAATTCAAATAGCAGAGACAGACAGCATTCTCACAGTTGAAATTAAGGAGTATTAAATTATACATAAAAGTTTTCGACTGAGGATGAGCGGCGGCACCAAGACAGACCTTAATGAAGAACAACAAGCTGCTTGGAGAGCACATGAACTCACCCGAGCCCAGGAATCAAATTTAAATAGAATCATATGACATTGGTAAAATCTTTAGTAAATTCAGTCTCCTAAGACGTGCAATTACCATGACATTCTTTAATCAGAAATGAAGGACAAGAAATTTAACAGTTTGGCAGGCCGGAATAGAGAAACCACAGGCAGAGATTACGAAGCTATGTGATGGAAGCCATCGAGACGCATAGTCAGTTGCCTTCTGTAAGGAGGTGGACCCTTGCTGGATATTTTTATAAACAACGGCGAAACCCTACACATACAAGCAGGATCAAATTTCCTGAGATAGTACTGGAGCTAGATCGTTATTAGCTATTAAAAACAGGGCTGTGCGTGAACAAAGTCTGAAGAAAAGCCATTATCGATGCGGATTCTAAATTGTCGATATGTTATGAATGCTGCAAGAAAAAGTGGTAGCTGGACTCTTAGGCCACAAGAATGAATCTGACGTAAGATATAATAATGGCATATCATACAGTATGCTTTTCAAATTAAAAAAAAAAAAGACATCCATTACAATTCAACCTTTGAAATATACCTATCGAACCAAATTAAAGGACGGGACCCACTAGTAGAAGCAAGGTCGTAAGGATTAATTAAAGAGCACTGCGGCAAGCCTAGTGGCCCAAGCTAAGCAAGTCCCTCTCAAACCCAGTCCTTCTCACTCATAACTTTTGGTTAAGCAATGAAGTTGAAGATGTCCTCTGTCCTTGTATTGCTGTGGTAGACAGGTGTATGAAAATGGTTTAAATACCAAAAAGTTTATGATTAAGACATGTGCAACAGTTGAGAATCTTTATTCTTTAATGATTTCGCCTACACACTGCAGAGTTGACTAAATATAAAGATAGCAAAGGCAGTAGTTGATGGACTAATCAAACAGGTTGACCGATTAAAGCAAAATAAGTCCCCAGGCCCTGATGAACTTTTTCAACTGCTCTCAAAGAATACACAATGAGACTTCACGAACCATTAACTAAACTTTTTAATATATCTCTTCAAACAGGTGTAGTACACATGTGGAAGATGGCTAATGTAATTTGTCAGGGATTGAAACAAACTTCCCGTTTGCACAAACAGAATATAATAGATCAATAACAAAAAGGCTAATTATAAGATGTCTCTAATACAACTTTAATAAGAAAAATAAATATTTTTATTATATTCAGGATGGTACTTTTTCTTGAGCCTGATGGGCCAATATAGTTAAGTAATATAGCGGTGTGGTAGTGAGGCGGTGGTGAACCAGGTGTGGAGACGGTGGAAGTTGTCTCAGGAAAGAAGCGTAGGCACGTGCTGACACTGACTTAATAGGGTCACTTGTTGATGTTCACTGATGTTGGTGCTCAGGTGTAAATGAGTTGAAGAGATGGTCACAACTCAGCCGGAACGTAAATTCTTTACGTAGATTCTTCCTAACACAGTAATGTTTGCTCCGGTCACAGCAACTACTGTGTGACGGAGTGATAGTATAAAGCAATGAAATATCCGCACATGCAACTTTGGCGGTGTCAGTGCTAACCAGGGAATTGGGGCAGGCCGTAGAAATAATACAAAAGAAAATATTAAACTATGTACAGGAGAGGTGACAACAGTGTCAGAGGGCCACAACAAAAGCAGAATATTGCATCACCCGAAGTATGGTCATTACAATCACCAGTTAACAACCCAAAAATGTAGTGTTACCAGAGCAGGTGGAAGTCCGTATTGAAGTGTCTCCCACCTGACGCCCAACATACCAAGTAAGCTTGCTAGATGGTCTTGCAGGCGATGACCTTCCCCCCAACTCTACTGAATTACCAGTCCCAATAAGCCTGATCTCAGTTGTAGGTAAATTACTAGAGTCAGTTATAACTGATACAAGAAGCCATCTTAACAAGCATAATTTGATTTATACTCAGCATGGATTCACGAGGGGCCGCTCCTGACTAATTTACTGACTTTCTTCAGTAAACATTTGAGACAGTTGATCAAGATATAGAATATGATTTTATTTGTTAGGTAAAAGGCCTCATTATTTATTTAGATTTTGACAAAGCTTTTGATAGAGTACCACACAAAAGACTGTTAATGAAATGGGCAGCCCATGGTATTAAGGAAAAAGTCCTGTCATGGATCGAAGGATGGCTGTCCAATAGGAAACAAAGTCTTCATAAATGGAGTGAAATCTGAGTGGGGATCAGTCACCAGTGGCATTCCACAAGAATTTGTTTTAGGCCTATTGCTGATAAGTAAGGCTCATGTGTAAGAGTTAGACGTCTTTATTCCGAAACGTTTCGCCTACACAGTAGGCTTCTTCACCTTAATACAGAGGAGACAGTAGAAGCAGTAGAGAAGTGGAGACGATGTAATCAGTCCATCACCATCGAGGACGTAGTTTGTGGTCAGTCCCTCAGCAAGGAGAAGAATTCTGCTCCATAGTCTGGAACAATGTGAAGCTGAAGCTACAGAATGGAGACTTATATACCATGAAGGTGAGGCATAGAAAATCTTGACAGAAGAGGCGGGGCTTCTGCTATGTCCGCTGTATTCGGCTGAAGAAGCCTACTGTGCAGGCGAAGCCTTTCGGAAACTTGGGGTCTTGATACAGAGAATTCATCAACACTTGTCTAACCTATAGACATGACCTACTTATGCTAGTAGATTTTTCCACTGGTGATTCGGCCAACTCCTGCTTCAACTCACATGACTGTAGTATATAAACCATTTCTCCGAATATATGCTATATATTTCTCAAGATTGATGGACTGAACATTTCGACTCCAAGCTGAGGGTCTCATTACTTCAAACTTCTTATCTTCCACCGTTCTTCTCTACCTGAAACCAGGTATTGAAGGCTGTTTGAAACTAACGAGTAAAACGGAGAAAGGTATGAAGAACAGATTATTTACTGCAAATCTAAACAAACACAAATTGCAGTATAGCGGAGCGGAGTTTATTCAGTCATGTACACAAAACATCAGTGCACACTAGAAGTACCTTCCATTACTGGAAGAATCAGGTTAAGGATGGCCAAACTGTGAAATTTGTAGCAAGAGATAGGAGAGTCATGTATCTGGCGAAGTTTGTTTTCTTGGACACAAATGCATACAGGAGAAAATTGAGAAATCAGCACCTGGACGTTTTTCCTATTTAATGTTGTGTCCTCTTACATTCCACTGTAAAATAGACATTTAAAAAAAAAACGTTATGTAAATGAGTGATAGATGAAGTCAAGCTGTTGTGGCAGCGAGTATGATGTCACTAAATTCTGCGTTGGGTCGATTGTAAAATAATGTTAGTAGGCTGCGAGAAAGCAGAAGTAGAAGAGTTTGAAGTAGGTATAGTCGACATTTTTTACATTTAGCTTATAGATGTGACATTTAATGCAATATATACTGGCAAAACTAAACGCCAACTGAAGCTCCTCATCTCTGAACACTTGTTCCGATCTATTGAACAAATAAGCAACTGAGTAAACCCCGATTTAGTGTTATACACCAACACTGTGAAGCCACAGACCACACAACAGACATGAAATTGTTCACTGTGTTGTCCAATCGATCCAATTCCATTGAGGTGGCAACAGTTGAGTCTCTCCACACCGAGACAAGTCTTCCTTGTGTAATAATGAATGGTCAGAAGAGTTACTGTTTCTAGTTATATTTTACAATATGTTTTGCCTGTATTCTTTTATCTTTTTTTGTGTTAATTTGATTTTCAGCAGATGTTTAGATATTATTCTTATGGTTGATTTTCTTTGATTTTGTACAGTGCCTGATGAAGGAATGAGTTAACTGTGAAACTAGTCGTGAATAAATGATGTTTAGAGTAGCAGTGCTTGTTTCCATCATCATAAAGACTCCGTTTTCAAAGGAACTCTTTAATTGTTTATATATATATTTTTTCAACGAATCGGCCGTATCTCACAGAGGCAGTGACCTAAAAAAAGGCGATAAAAATTATTTTTAAATTTAGTAATTTATACAAGAGAAGGGGTTACTAGCCGCTTACTCCTGGCATTTTAGTCGCTACTTACAGTACGCATGGCTTACGGAGTAAGAATTTTTTTCACTTTCCCATGGAGATAAGAGGAAATAAAGAAGAACAAGAACTTTTAAGAAAATAGAAGAAAACCCTCGATGGGAGTGTAAATATATATTCATGTACATGGAAGTGTAATGTGACTTAAGAGTAAGTAGATGTAGCAAGATATACCTGTTATCCAGCGTGTATATGAAACGGTGGCCCGGTGGCCTGGTGGCTAAAGCTCCCGCTTCACACACGGAGGGCCCGGGTTCGATTCCCGGCGGGTGGAAACATTCCGACACGTTTCCTTACACCTGTTATCCTGTTCACCTAGCAGCAAATAGGTACCTGGGTGTTAGTCGACTGGTGTGGGTCGCATCCTGGGGGACAAGATTAAGGACCCCAATGGAAATAAGTTAGACAGTCCTCGATGACGCACTGACTTTCTTGGGTTATCCTGGGTGGCTAACCCTCCGGGGTTAAAAATCCGAACGAAATCTATCTTATCTTAAAAAAGACACCAGCAATCCTACCATCATGTAAAACAATTATAGGTTTCTGTTTCACACTCAGCAGGACGGTAGTACCTCCCTGGGCGGTTGCTGTCTACCAACATAATACCCAGAATATATATATATATATATATATATATATATAATATATATATATATATATATATATATATATATTTTTCACACTGGCCGATTCCCACCAAGGCAGGGTGGCCCGAAAAAGAAAACTTTCACCATCATTCACTCCATCACTGTCTTGCCAGAAGGGTGCTTTACACCACAGTTTTTAAACTGCAACATTAACATCCCCCCTTCAGAGTGCAGACACTGTACTTCTCAACTCCAGGACTCAAGTCCAGCCTGCCGGTTTCCCTGAACCCTTCATAAATGTTACTTTGCTCACACTCCAACAGCACGTCAAGTATTAAAAACCATTTGTCTCCATTCACTCCTATCAAACACGCTCACGCATGCCTGCGGAAGTCCAAGCCCTTCGCACCACAAAACCTCCTTTAAACCCCCCCCCTCCAACCTTTCCTAGGCCCACCCCTACCCGCCTTTCCCTTTCCACTACAGACTGATACACTCTTGAAGTCACTCTGTTTACTCCATTCTCTCTACATGTCCGAACCACCTCAACAACCCTTCCTCAGCCCTCTGGACAACATTTTGGTAATCCCGCACCTCCTCCTAACTTCCAAACTACGAATTCTCTGCATTATATTCACACCACACATTGCCCTCAGACATGACATCTCCACTGCCTCCAGCCTTCTCCTCGCTGCAACATTCATCACCCATGCTTCACACCCATATAAAAGCGTTGGTAAAAACTATACTCTCATACATTCCCCTCTTTGCCTCCAAGGACAAAGTTCTTTGTCTCCACAGACTCCTAAGTGCACCACTCACCCTTTTTCCCCTCATCAATTCTATGATTCACCTCATCTTTCATAGACCCATCCGCTGACACGTCCACTCCCAAATATCTGAATACATTCACCTCCTCCATACTCTCTCCCTCCAATCTGATATCCAATCTTTCACCACATAATCTTTTTGTTATCCTCATAACCTTACTCTTTCGTGTATTCACTTTTAATTTTCTCTTTTGCACACCCTACCAAATTCATCCACCAATCTCTGCAACTTCTCTTCAGAATCTCCCAAGAGCACAGTGTCATCAGCAAAGAGCAACTGTAACAACTCCACATTATGTGTGATTCTTTATCTTTTAACTCCACGCCTCTTGCCAAGACCCTCGCATTTACTTCTCTTACAACCCCATCTATAAATATATTAAACAACCACGGTGACATCACACATCCTTGTCTAAGGCCTACTTTTACTGGGAAATAATTTCCTCTTTCCTATGTACTCTAACTTGAGCTCACTATCCTCGTAAAAACTCTTCACTGCTTTCAGTAACCTACCTCCTACACCATACACCTGCAACATCTGCCACATTGCCCCCCTATCCACCCTGTCATACGCCTTTTCCAAATCCATAAATGCCACAAAGACCTCTTTAGCCTTATCTAAATACTGTTCACTTATATGTTTCACTGTAAACACCTGGTCCACACACCCCTACCTTTCCTAAAGCCTCCTTGTTCATCTGCTATCCTATTCTCCGTCTTACTCTTAATTCTTTCAATAATAACTCTACCATACACTTTACCAGGTATACTCAACAGACTTATCCCCCTATAATTTTTGCACTCTCTTTTGTCCCCTTTGCCTTTATACAAAGGAACTATGCATGCTCTCTGCCAGTCCCTAGGTACCTTACCCTCATCCATACATTTATTAAATAATTGCACCAACCACTCCAAAACTATATCCCCACCTGCTTTTAACATTTCTATCTTTATCCCATCAATCCCGACTGCCTTACCCCCTTTCATTTTACCTTCCTATATATTCTGGGTATTATGTTTACCGTGATCTTATTGCATATATATATATATATATAATATATATATATATATATATATATATATATATATAATATATATATATATATATAATATATATATTTATACATATATATATATAATGGAAATGGAACAGAATTTTCCTCCGTAAACCATGCGTGTCGTAAGAGGCTACTAAAATGCCAGGAGCAAAGGGCTAGTAACCCTCTCTCCTGTATACATTACTAAAGATAAAAAGAGAACTTCTGTTTGTTTTTCTTTTTTGCGTACCTTGCTTCGGTGGCATACGGCCGGTTTATTGAAAGATGAAGAATATATGTATGTATATCTTGCCGAATAAGTAAAACTGGTCAATTAGCAAGAAATCATTTAAATTAAGCCCTTTCTAAAATTTTTCTTTGTACGTTTAAAGATATGTTTTTTGAATTTATGTTAATGTAAAAATATAAAAATTTGTATCAAAAGAACCTTAGAAAACTTACCTAACCTTATTATAACAAGCTCAATTTAATTTACCCTAATCCAACTAAATATATTTTAGATAAATTTACAGTAATTTAAAAATAAACAAACACAATGAATTATACTTTTTTTCTGTAGGTTCAGAATGTTTTCTTGCGGAATTGTTGCATTCACAAATTTTCGCTTGCTTTATTCGGCAAGAAGAGCGTTGCTGTTTAATCCAAAATCGCAGGTTTTACCTATTCGGCACGACATATATATATATACATATATATATATATATATATATATATATATATATATATATATATATATATATATATATATATATATATATATATATATATATATATATATATATATATATACATATATATATAATGGAAATGGAACAGAATTCTTCCTCCGTAAACCATGCGTGTCGTAAGAGGCTACTAAAATGCCAGGAGCAAAGGGCTAGTAACCCTCTCTCCTGTATACATTACTAAAGATAAAAAGAGAACTTCTGTTTGTTTTTCTTTTTTGGGTACCTTGCTTCGGTGGCATACGGCCGGTTTATTGAAAGATGAAGAATATATGTATGTATATCTTTCCGAATAAGTAAAACTGGTCAATTAGCAAGAACTCATTTAAAATTAAGCCCTTTCTAAAATTTTCTCTTGTACGTTTAAAGATATGTTTTTTGAATTTATGTTAATGTAAAAATTAATAATTTTGTATCAAAAGAACCTTAGAAAACTTACCTAACCTTATTATAACAAGCTCAATTTAATTTACCCTAATCCAACTAAATATATTTTAGATAAATTTACAGTAATTTAAAAATAAACAAACACAATGAATTATACTTTTTTCTGTAGGTTCAGAATGTTTTCTTGCGGAATTGTTGCATTCACAAATTTTCGCTTGCTTTATTCGGCAAGAAGAGCGTTGCTGTTTAATCCAAAATCGCAGGTTTTACCTATTCGGCACGACATATATATATATATATATATATATATATATATATATATATATATATATATATATATATATATATATAATTAATATATATATATATAATATATATATATATATATATATATAATATATATATATATTAATGAAATCACGAAGCAGACGACTTTGAATCATTAACAGAAATGCAGCTGGCCTGGATTCGATCCTGCGTTCCCATGCCCAGCCCTGTGACAACAGGATGTAGTACACAATACACATTTTTCCCAGAAAATGGTAATGGTTGTGTGTATCTGATTTCAAATCCATAATCTAATGAACGTTATTTCTGGCAAATTGGAAAAAGCCTTGACTTACGACAACAGCAGCGTTAGAATTGGGCACAAAATTAATGCTCTGTTGGTTTAAAAGCATCTAATGTTAGTTTATAATGAACGTTTGTTTAAGCAAATACAATAATTTCTTATTCTCCTACAAATACAGTTTCGACGTGAGGAGAGGTCCAGCGTTCCACTGGAAGAATCCCAGTCACTTGGGTCAGCGAGCCACCTTCCATCCCACTACAGCCAGTCTTACTCTTCAGAGGGTAGAGGCAGAGGACCAGGGAACTTATCGTTGTAGGGTAGACTTCCGCGTCAACCCTACTCTCACCTTCACCACCAACCTCAGTGTTATTGGTGAGTGTTCATCCATCTCCTTCACTACTTCCCTTCACTTTCACTACCCCGCAAATCCCCACCATTCTCACTATTTACCGCAGTTAGGTTAGGTTAGGTAAGGTTCGTCAGGAAACAGGACAAATGTTTCCTGACGCGGGTCTTAGTCAGATGATGACCCGCCTTTGGAGCTTTTGGTCATCTGACCGAGGCCTTCCGCTGGCTGTTACTGGTAAAGTTTTAACCCCCATCATGCCCTTGTTAAAAAAAATGATGAAAAAATATGTTTGAAAAAAAAATATGAAAAACAAAAGAATATTTTTGTGGAAATATGTATTTCATGAGCGTAAGATTAAAACGATATTTAAGGTAAATATAGAAGTGTCAGTTTAAGGAAACGAGCCACAGATTAATATAACCCACAATTTGGACTGGAAACGTTATCTAAAGTTTCATAATTTAGGGTTGGTTGTGCATAGTTCCAGCCATGGTACAGAACATAATTTTCTTTTTTTTACTAAACTAGCCTATTATAAACAGATTTTAGCTTCCATTTTGTTACTATAAAACTTCTTTTAGTATTATTAGCTTCGTATATAAATTCTTTTTATCTCTGTCTCTTACTTCAACCGACTTCCCATGGGAGATGCATGACAAGCACCTCGTCTCTTTTCAATGATATAGGAAAGTATTGGTTTGGAAATAGAGTAGTCAATGAGTGGAACAGTCTGTCTAGTAGGGTATTGAAGCTAAAACCTTGTGTAGCTTCAAATTCAGGCTAGATAAATACATTGGTTTAGAAAGACACGTAAGCAAACACTAGGACATATTGATCAGTGATCAAGGTCCAAGAACCGAAACGGTTCTTAGACCTATCTATTAGCAAGGTTTGTACCAGATAAATAAATGAGTAAGAGGGATTGGATTTAAGAGGAACTTGCACATGAATTATATTCACTGGGAAGCATTGAAAATGGGTTGGGCAAATATTTTTGTTACAAGGGTTTGGTCTGAGGAAGACCTGGCTAGTATGGGCCAGTAACCCTGCTGAAGTGTTCCTCCTTTGTTATGTTCTTTGCGAACGAGTGTACACCCAGGGTGTCGGCTCCAAGGACTCCCCCCGAAGGCCTAAATCACTAGGCCCAGTTGAATAGACCTGGTTGGTAGGTGGTCACAGCCCTTCCTGCCATTATAGAAGACTCGGCATTATTCAGATCCCGATAAAGACTGGTGCTACCAGGCTACCTACCCGATGTTACCAAGTTACCCACCCGGTGCCACCATGCTACACACCCGGTGCCACCATGCTACCCACCCGGTGCTACCGTGCTACCCACCCGGTGTTACCAAGTTACCCACCCAGTGCTGAGAAGCTATGCACTCGGTGTTACCAAGCTACCCACCCGGTGCTACCAAGTTACCCACCCGGTGCTACCAAGCTACCCACCCGGTGCTACCAAGCTACCCACCCGGTGCTACCAAGCTACAGCTGGTGCTACCAAGCTACCTAGCCGGTGCAACCAAGCTATGCACTCGGTGCTACCAAGCTACCCACCCGGTGCTACCAAGTTACCCACCCGCTGCTACCAAGCTACCCACCCGGTGCTACCAAGCTACCCACCCAGTGCTAACAAGCTACCCACCCGGTGCTACCAAGCTACCTAGCCGGTGCCACCAAGCTACCTAGCCGGTGCAACCAAGCTACGTACCCGGTGCTACCAAGATACCCAGGCGGTTCAACCAAGCTACGTACCCGGTGCTTCCAAGCTACCCAGCCGGTGCTACCAAGCTACCCACCCGGTGCTGTCAAGCTACCCACCTGGTGCTACCAAGCTTCCCACTCGGTGCTACCAAGCTACCCATTCGGTGCTACCAAGCTACCCACCCGGTGCTACCAAGCTACCCACCCGGTGCTACCAAGCTACCCACCCGGTGCTACCAAGCTACCCACCCGGTGCAACCAAGCTACCCAGCCGGTGCTACAAAGCTACCCAGCCGGTGCTACCAAGCTACCCAGCCGGTGCAATCAAGCTACGCACCTGGTGCTACCAAGCTACGCACTCGGTGCTACCAAGCTACCCAGCCGGTGCTACCAAGCTACCCAGCCGGTGCTACCAAGCTACCCAGCCGGTGCAACCAAGCTACGCACCTGGTGCAACCAAGCTACGCACCTGGTGCAACCAAGCTACGCACCTGGTGCTACCAAGCTACGCACCTGGTGCAACCAAGCTACGCACCTGGTGCTACCAAGCTACGCACATGGTGCAACCAAGCTACGCACCTGGTGCTACCAAGCTACGCACCTGGTGCTACCAAGCTACGCACCTGGTGCTACCAAGCTACGCACTCGGTGCTACCAAGCTACGCACCTGGTGCAACCAAGCTACGCACCTGGTGCAATCAAGCTACGCACTCGGTGCTACCAAGCTACGCACCTGGTGCAACCAAGCTATGCACTCGGTGCTACCAAGCTACGCACTCGGTGCTACCAAGCTACGCACCTGGTGCTACCAAGCTACGCACTCGGTGCTACCAAGCTACGCACCTGGTGCTACCAAGCTACGCACTCGGTGCTACCAAGCTACGCACCTGGTGCTACCAAGCTACGCACTCGGTGCTACCAAGCTACGCACCTGGTGCTACCAAGCTACGCACTCGGTGCTACCAAGCTACCCAGCCGGTGCTACCAAGCTACGCACTCGGTGCTACCAAGCTACGCACTCGGTGCTACCAAGCTACGCACCTGGTGCAACCAAGCTACGCACTCGGTGCTACCAAGCTACGCACCTGGTGCTACCAAGCTACGCACTCGGTGCTACCAAGCTACGCACCTGGTGCTACCAAGCTACGCACCTGGTGCTACCAAGCTACGCACCTGGTGCAACCAAGCTACGCACCTGGTGCTACCGAGCTACACACCTGGTGCAACCAAGCTACGCACCTGGTGCAACCAAGCTACGCACCTGGTGCTACCAAGCTATGCACCTGGTGTAACCAAGCTACGCACTCGGTGCTACCAAGCTACGCACCTGGTGCTACCAAGCTACGCACTCGGTGCAACCAAGCTACGCACCTGGTGCAACCAAGCTATGCACCTGGTGCAACCAAGCTACGCACCTGGTGCAACCAAGCTACGCACCTGGTGCTACCAAGCTATGCACCTGGTGCAACCAAGCTACGCACTCGGTGCTACCAAGCTACGCACCTGGTGCTACCAAGCTACGCACCTGGTGCTACCAAGCTACGCACCTGGTGCAACCAAGCTACGCACCTGGTGCTACCAAGCTACGCACCTGGTGCTACCAAGCTACGCACCTGGTGCAACCAAGCTACGCACTCGGTGCTACCAAGCTACGCACCTGGTGCAGCCAAGCTACGCACCTGGTGCTACCAAGCTACGCACCTGGTGCAACCAAGCTACGCACCTGCCGGTGCTACCAAGCTACCCACCCGGTGCAACCAAGCTACCCACCCGGTGCTACCAATCTACCCACCCGGTGCTACCAAGCTACCCACCCGGTGCTACCAATCTACCCACCCGGTGCTACCAAGCTACCCACCCGGTGCAACCAAGCTACCCACCCGGTGCTACCAAGCTACCCACCCGGTGCAACCAAGCTACCCACCCGGTGCTACCAATCTACCCACCCGGTGCTAAACCCAAACTACCCACCCGGTGCTACCAAGCTACCCATCCGGTGCTACCAAGCTACGCACCTGGTGCAACCAAGCTACGCACCTGGTGCTACCAAGCTACGCACCTGGTGCTACCAAGCTATGCACCTGGTGCTACCAAGCTACGCACCTGGTGCTACCAAGCTACGCACCCGTTGCTACCAAGCTACGCACCCGTTGCTACCAAGCTACCCACCCGGTGCTACCAAGCTACCCACTCGGTGCTACCAAGCTACCCACTCGGTGCTACCAAGCTACCCACCCGGTGCTACCAAGCTACCCACTCGGTGCTACCAAGCTACCCACCCGGTGCTACCAAGCTACCCACCCGGTGCTACCAAGCTACCCACCCGGTGCTACCAAGCTACCCACCCGTGCTAACCAAGCTACCCACCCGGTGCTACCAAGCTACCCACTCGCGTGCTACCAAGCTACCCATCCGCTGCTACAAGCTACCCACCGGTGCTACCAAGCTACCCACCCGGTGCTACCAAGCTACCCACCCGGTGCTACCAAGCTACCCATCCGCTGCTACCAAGCTACCCATCCGCTGCTACCAAGCTACCCATCCGCTGCCACCAAGCTACCCACCCGCTGCTACCAAGCTACCCATCCGCTGCTACCAAGCTACCCACCCGCTGCTACCAAGCTACCCACCCGCTGCTACCAAGCTACCCACCCGCTGCTACCAAGCTACGCACCTGGTGCTACCAAGCTACCCACCCGCTGCTACCAAGCTACCCACCCGCTGCTACCAAGCTACCCACCCCGGTGCTACCAAGCTACCCACCCGCTGCTACAAGCTACCCACCGCTGCTACCAAGCTACCCACCCGCTGCTACCAAGCTACCCACTCGTGCTACCAAGCTACCCACCCGATGCTACCAAGCTACCACCCGCTGCTACCAAGCTACCCACCCGCTGCTACCAGCTACCCACCGTGCTCAAGCTACCCCACTCGCTGCTACCAAGCTACCCACCCGGTGCTACCAAGCTACCCATCCGCTGCTACCAAGCTACCCATCCGCTGCTACCAAGCTACCCACCCGGTGCTACCAAGCTAACCCACCCGGTGACAAGCTACCACGCGCTACCAGCTACCCACCTGGTGCTACCAAGCTACCCACCTGGTGCTACCAAGCTACCCACCTGGACCAGCTACCCACCGGCTACCAAGCTACCCACCTGGTGCCACCAAGCTACCCACCCGCTGCTACCAAGCTAAACCCCTCCGCTGCTACCAAGCTACCCACCCGCTGCTACCAAGCTACCCACCCGCTGCTACCAAGCTACCCACCCGCTGCTACCAAGCTACCCACCCGGTGCTACCAAGCTACCCACCCGCT